TTTTTTTTTTTTTTTTTTCGAAACTTGGCCACCTGTGAATTAGTTAACTAATTAACAATAAATGAATGTCTGTATTAAACAGAGAGTGTTGTCACTATCAACTGGTTAATGAATCGTGTTTAGCATTTGGAAGAAGATTCTTTTAGTTTACAATTTTATACTAACTAGTCATTTAACGACTTTCTCTGGTGCAAATTTCTGATGCCTTTCTCGCTTTGAATAGTTCCGTTAAGACAGAAGAAGAATCACAGCAGTGGGAGTTTATCAACTTTACACATAGCTTCCTTTTACTGTACTTGTTTATATGTGGGAAGTTTTGGAGCCTGATAGCTGACAAAGAAACAAACCTCTACTCATCCACTTTATTCAGAGCTTTACAGAAAGATGGGGATGGAAAGGGGGTTCTGGAGTGAAATTTCACACATCTGGTCTTGATTTCCATGCTAAGGCAACCTTAATAAATTTGGCTTTGAAGCCTGGGCTATTTTATTTTGTGTGCTAGAACTATCGCAATGCTTCAAATTCCTCCACCCGACTATTACATCAGGGGTTACAATCAAATGCTGTGTAAGCACCTTTTTCTTCCACGGGTACTGGGCACAGGATTGAAACCCTCAGTGTATGTGTGAGATGATGGGGCCATATTCCTAACATAAGGACGTTTTATAGGTGGCTTCCATCATGTTCTGGTAATCAACAGTTAAAACTACTGTACTACCTGCTACAGGGAGGACTCCCTGATATTTCAACAAGTGAAGCCTTTGCAGGCTCATGTGCAGTCACATCTGCTTGTTAGGCAAGAGAAAGGAGAAGGCCTGCAAACAAGCCAATGCTCCCCCAGCTATCCCATAACTCTTCAGTGAGCCTGTGAGAACAGGGGGTGGGGGATGAAGCGCCTGGCTTCAATGGCAGCAGAATGTGTGGAGTTGGTTAATTTGGACATGGCAGCGGTTCAGCAGAGAACAGTACTCCACGGATCTGCCAGACAATATTGGTGCCAGATGTTGTGAGGAGAGAAAAATCCTGCCACATAAAACATGTTCCAGTGGAAAGACTCCTTCTGTCGCTCTGCGTCTGCAAAAAAGTGATGACTTTGAACTATTCAGAGCATAAAATTTTGTTTTTATTTGTGAAAAAAAAAACATAGTACATAAATACGACAATCAGTTAGATGGAGATGGGTAGTGTGGTTGTTTTTAGGAAAAAAATGAATCCAGACAGTATGTATAAATGAAAGGTATCAATTTAGATTTTTTCTTTAGAAATTTATTTTTTAATGTCACTTTGTGGCGCATGTTCTGTAGCTGTAATAAAGCAAACCTAATTTACATTTTTCCGCAGTATCAATCAAAAACCACGCTGTTTGTGTATATTTATGTATACCCTCCTTACATGTGTTTGAATGACTCTAAGCTGAGCTCATTAAACACTTGGTTCCCCCTACTTTTTTTTTTTAACCTATTTTTATTCTAAATGCAGGCACACATGGACAAAATGATGGCTTTTTTCCATTACAAAGCTTATCATTAAATCCCCTCCCGCTGATCTTTTTGCTGAGTTTAAAGTAGAGAGTAGAATCATTAGGAACACCAGGAGACTTCACAGTCACTGGGACACAGCTAACCCTGCGAGTTATCTCCGCTTGTGTGAAGAAGAAGAGCAGCGGGTTAGCCAGGTGACCCCTGACCTTAAGGAAGAAATTCTCAGAGCAGATCCTTCATCCACACTGTTGCACCCATTTGCTGATGTGTTCGTTAAAACGCCAAATTTTGAGCCTTCCACAGTTTCCAGTTTTCATTCTGAATTAGTTTAGATACAAATGACTTATTTTATATGAATAAAGCAAAAGTATATATATCTATATATTTAATATAATGTTCCTACCCGTCATGAGAACATTTTTTTCTACCCCCTTTTGAGGAAATGGCGATGGGGCTGAGATTTTAATTCTGACTTTAGCATTTTACATTAGTGCCATCAAAACTGCCAACATTCTTTTATGTATTTTAGTAAAAGCAGATTACATTCACTTTCAGACTTTCAAAAGATTGCATGGATTTTCACAGTCAGCACATTTTTTGACAGAGGTTCAAAAAGACAGCAACTTTGTCTAATCTATTCAGCCCTCCTGTTATCTGCTGAATGTCTAGATTTCTCACAGCCTGAAAAAACGGATGTCCTGACATGTCATAGAAAATACAACTGATTTATAAATAACATTGCTTAACTCAAGGTCATCACACCATCAGACTCTCATACCAACAAAGGTCAGATTCTGTCTGGCATCACTAGCTTTTCTGTCTCTGTCGTTAATGGCAAGCTTTTTTCGCAATGTGTTTGTGTGTTTGAAGAACTTAGTTTTTAAGGCCGGCGTTGAAGCGCAGTCACAGACAGACACTCGGGCACCTAAAACGTCAACCTGTCTGACAGAAAGGCCCTTCATTTGACAGCAAGCCCAATTAGAAGGCAAAAAACACTGTAAAGAAGAAGGGGGGAATAGAGAGAGAGGGAAACAGTGGGTGGGAGGTGCTTAAGGACAGCCTATAATTAACCCTTCAACTTAATAAGTCCTTGCAGGACAGATCTGCAAACGAGGAGCCCAGCACACACAGGCAAGCCGTTTTTAGCGGCTCAAATTATCACAGGGAGTGTTTAAACGAGAGGTTCAGCTGTGTTTGCGCAGCGGTGTGATGTGGAGTCAGGCTCTACCTTTGAAGTGTTCAGGGATGGCATTGAAGGCTATGACTAAGTTGTTTTGTACAAGATCCATTTCTGGCTCTAAGAGAGTGTGAGTGTTTGATTTGGACTAAAGGGAGCGTGTACACGTAAGTAGTCGTGTAGGAGCCTCAAAGCTGTTTAGAACAAGATGAAATGTATCAGTTGCCCTCCTGCTGCAGCTCTGTCAGTTATCGTTTGAGCTTAGGATTCCTTTTTTTCCTTTCTTTTCCAACTCTCACCTACGCTTTTTCTAATCACAAACTACTTTGTGTGTGTTTTTTTTTTCCTCTTCAGGTACTACTTCAAGAAGGCGAGCGATGAGTTTGAGTGCGGTGCGGTGTTTGAGGAAGTGTGGGAAGATGCCACTGTGCTGCCCATGTATGAGGGCAAGGTTCTGGGCAAAGTGGAGAGGATGGACTAAAAAGACGAAACACAAACAACCAGCGCCCTTTCCCTGCCCAACCACAAGTTAAGCTTTCCCTAAAGGACTTGAGAAACAGACTCTGTTAAAAAAAAAAAAGACAAAAAAAAAAAATTCTGGACTTTTTTTTTTTTATTACATATTTCTTCTTATTAAGCTAAACAGAGTTAATATATCCAGCACAAAAAAAAAACGATTGAAGGAAGATGAGCCAATGAAGTATGCCGAACTCAGAGGAGGAGCCGCCCCCTCCCTGATGCTCTCAACCAATCAGCCTTAGAACACACAAGGGAACGAAACTATGAAAACCAAGGCAAGAAACAACGGGGGAGGAAACACCCCGACTTCTCTTGGACATAACCACTGAAGATACAGATGACGTGACATGATGGCAGACTGATGGTGTCCTGTGCAGTGGGCTAAGCAGGCGCTAATGGAAACTCCATATGTGTACATATACATACATGCATATATATGTATATATACATGTATTTAATTTATATCTATATATATATCTATATAGATATATAGATATAGATTTGATTTTTTTTTTTTTTGAGTTAAAAGTTTTTTTTTAGTATTTATTAAAAAAATCTTTTCCTCTCCCATCCTATGTCTTAAACTTGTGACCCCACCCCCTTTTCCTGTTTCCAGCCAATGATCAAGCTGCTTTAAATGTTGGGAGAATACTGTGGTGATAATATTTAATGTTTGTCCATTTTTATGTTCCACTATGGTCGTTACACTACCCTTTTTTACAACTTAAGACCCAAAATAACGACCTGGGTCCCAGGCTGAAGCTTCGTCTCGATAGTGGTCGATCCCAGTTTTATATGCTGCTGATAGTTTGTTCAAAGTTGTCACACTAGGATCTCCCAGAGCTCATTGAATCTCTCGCCACTCCTCCCTTTTCTACCTGTCTTTTCCCTCTTTAGCGACAGAGCTCAATCTTTTTTTGTTGTGCCTTTGTTTGTAAATCAGGCATTGCACAGAGATGGGAAATAAAGGGATGGGGGGCAGATTCAAACAGACAAATGGCCTAATGAAGACAGTGTTTACAGCCTGTGCACCTAAATAACTCATGCTAACAGAATCGGTTCTGGCCACTAAGAGCGACCTCTAGATGAAGTCAGCCAATGTGTGCAAGGGGGGAAAAAAGTTTTAAAAATATGTGAAGAATTTCCGCTCCAGTATCTTTTGAATGTTGTTACAGTAACATCAAATATAGCAGAACTCCTGCATATATTGTAATTATGCATTCTGAAGTATGAATACTGAAACACACACATACACATGACTGCTGGTGTTTCTTGAGTACAGCACCTGTGCCTACATGGATGCCATACCATGTGCTACCCTGTTTCAGGGTTTTAATATATATCCCTTGGTTTTCAGAAGGGTTTTTATGTTGAGAAGATATTTTTATGCTTTTAATAATGTCCTGTAATCATATTTTTGCTTTATCTTTTTTGTTTTTGTTTTTTTTACACCAATGCCTTTTTTGGTTGTTGTATTTGGTTCATAATATCTAAACTGTAAATTATACATTATATACAGAGTTTCATTTAAAGATTTACATGGATCTATAATTATTGTAATTATTGAGAGATGTAGCCTTTATTAAAGTTTTATATTTTTCAAATGAAAGCTGGTTGAACATTTTCCTTCATATTACAGAATGGCATGTAGAAGTATTCACACCCATTTAAAGTTACACATATATCAGCAGTTTACCACAAGCTTTTTTCTTTAATTTAAGTGGATCTTTAAGAGATGGAAAACAGTGCCTGATGGTGAAGTTGGCAGAAAGGTTCTGTTCTTGTTTTAGTTTCGAAATTACTAAGGCCATGTGCATTGACATTACAAACATGTCTTACTACAAGTTTCTTTTAACATTTGTGTTCTTTACACCCTTTCAAAGCTTACTTGTAGAGTTTATTAAATGTTAAATGGACTGAATTTATATAACGATTTCTAGTGAAGCTAACCACTTAAAGCTTTACACTACAGCTGCATTCACTCAGTTGTACTACCTACAGTAATTTGCAAAAAGTTTGATGCACAACCTGGTTTTGTAAGTGCCTTGCCTACGGCACACTAGCATGTGATAACAGGTAAGATGGAATTTTCCAAAAACCTTCAAACTGTAAGACAAGTGCTCCATTCACAGAGCCTCAGATGCTCACTATCAAGGTCAAACTGTTCAGTCATCAACGTCTGCATCCTGGGCTGTTGATCCCTTTAATTTCTCCATTGTTACTATGCAGTCACTAGCTGCATTTTTGATCAGTTCTTTACATCCCCGTCAGCTTGTTTAAGATTGTCGGAAATAGTTTTATCACCAAACCCAGTTTTAATCCATACCATCTTATTCATGGCCTGTCAGCTGTGCCCCAGAGTTCTGTAATAAACATTTTAAAAACCTTACAGCATAGGTGGAAGAATAAAGAAATTAAATGGGACACACATGATATGGGCTCTAATAATAAGGTGGCCCTAGAGGGTAAAATTTTCCTCTAGTTTCTATTTAGGGCCATCAAAGAATATTTGACTGATTATAGATGAGCACATTTTTTTTTTTTTTTGAAGATTCACAGTAAAATACAGTGAAGGTTATGAGGTTGTGTCACAATAAAAGAGGTGTAAAAACTACTGTGCAAAAACTTTTCACATTACATCCCAACATTTGATGTGTTGCATGCAGTAATACTTAAAGGAAGTATGGGGAATTTTCGCAAATGTTTTAAAATACCTGCCCTTTCGTTGCAGATGCACAACCCTGTACCATCTCCCAATCCCATTTCTCCTTGTGCACACTTCTGTTTTAAGTTGCTGTTCTCATAGCTCATACAAGCTTACTGTGTCTTAATGTCTTCCCTAACCCCCTCATTCACCATATAGAGCGGGGACTATATAGTGGAGTTTATCGTGTACTCAGTTAACTTACCATTCGAACAGACCATTACTACTTTTTGCTCCCCGTTGGTCACATAACTCCACCTCCAACGTGTGGTGCCTGCGCCATCGTTGCTATTATTCGCCTCTGTCAGGTAGTGACAGCCTATGGTGACGGCGGGCTGCTTTGACAGCAAATCTTATAATGCTTTGCGCAAAGAGCTCTCCGCGCAAAAGCTTTCCAGGATATATTTGACTTTTCTGAGGCCTTTCTTATCTAATCATGAACTCCATAGACACTTTTTTTCCTATGAAACCTCGGCCATTTTCAAAGAACGGCAGGGAGAAAGGTGAGGTTCCATGACTGTCTGAAACTAACTCAACACACACTGAAAGTGCACATGCGCATAGCTAACGGGACAAGCACGTAAGAAGGCCTTACATAAATATATCACCAGAATGAGTGACAATTAGGAAAACAAGTTATTTAGATGATAAACCCTGAATAAAAGATCATCCTTTATATCTTTAAACACATAATGAGATAATTAAGGCTGTCTTCACACCTTTTGTTTGTGCCCTTTCTGCATCAGCATGAATTGCATTGATGGTAATCTATACAGCGTTTATAGTTTGGTTTTTTTAGGTGAAGTGGCCTCATTAGGCTGTGGTTTTATTCTAGAAGTTTAAAAACTAGACTAATAGTTGGATCAATTTTAGAATGAAAGACTTGGATTTTTCGGTTGAAAGCACAGATTGTGTGACTATAACTGATATGGATCAAACTGCTGTGCTTTGTGATCGTTGTAGTTCTAGGTATCAAGGATTAAAAGGTAGAAAATATCTAATTTTCAGAGACTGTTAAGTCTTAAATCTAATGATTTAAGTAAAAGTTTGTTTTAAAATATCAGTTCTTTGTTCAACGAAAGAATAAGAAGATATTTGTTTTAGTCAGTATTGTTATGTATTTATTTCGTGTTATTTTGAAACCCAAAGATTTTGTTTGATCACTTGATGTCACAGATCAGGCACCCATCCACAGAACCATAATAGGTACTGTTATATTTATCCCATGTAGTGACTGGCCTGGCAAGACTGCTACAAAAGCAAGGAAGATTGTAAAAAAATGGATGCAAAAGAGAGAATAGAGTTATTTGTGGATTTGTGGATCAAGAAGACAACAATAAACACTGCAGAGAAGCAGAAATGGCTAGTGTTAAATCAACATATCAAAACCTGCTATATAAGGACAGGTCAACGGTTAGGGTTAAAGTTTAGAAGAGGTTTGTCCCAGTGTTCTCCTCTTTATGTACAGTAGCCTGGAAACAGTTCCAAATAAAGTCATTTCCATAGGAGTGACATTAAGATGTAAAAATCTTATCTTGACCATTCGCAGAAAAAAAAAATCACAAGTGAGAAAAATATACAGATTATGTCAACTGTTGATTTTTATTGCAACTATTGTACTTTTTTAATAGTTAAAGTTTAAAGTTTGTACAGTGGTTAAGCGCATCACCAGTGTACAGAGGCTTTGTTTCTCAGACTTTTGACCTTTGCTGCATGTGTATATCCTCCTGTGAGCACTCCACTGGAAGCTGCTGCTACTGTGGTACATGCTGGGACAGCTGTCAATC